ATCTGTTTGCTTTCTAATTATTTCCCTTGTTACCACCTTGGTCTAGACAACTAGGACAATCTCCTGAAAAAGTCTCTGGGGCATGACTATTCTAACCATGTCCACCACACTGAAACAAACTCAAAAGATCGTGCTAACTGATCTCAGATACCAAGAAACTGACTTAAGGTTTGAACTCCATTCAGATGGGAGCAAGAGCTCATATTAACTTAGATGCTCACGATCTGGTGTCCCATACCTATAGTTTATACCCTGAATGCTAAACTTCTGGCTGAATTGCCTCGTACCTCTAGACTATCTCAGTTTCATTTTCTCTTGGAACGCTTCTGTGCATTGTCAGGCTAACCCTTACTAATTCTTCAAGACTCGATCAGGTTTTTTTTTTTAAGATTTATTTATGTGTATATCTATGTTCTACATGTTACATTATGACATGTATGTGTGTCGTCTGTGTAACTGCCCAAGGAGGCCAGAAGATAGTGTCAAATCATCTAGAATTAGTTATACACAGCTGTAAGCAGCAAGTGCTCTTAACTGCCAACCCATCTCTCAAATCCCATGGTTTTTTTTACTTAGTTGGGCTTTTAAGAATTTTTTATTGTGTTCCTGGAGATTGAATTGAGGTCTTCTACAAGAGCAGAGAGAGCTGAGCTATCTCTCCAGGCCCCCAGGACAGTCTCTTTCTTATACAGTCACACTTTGACAACTAAATTCAAGAAACTTGGCATTGATACAGTACTATGCACATTTACATTTTATGAATTTGAATAATCAAGCCTTATTAAATTCTCTAATCAAACATTGACACAGTTTACAACCAATACTCAAATTTTGCCAGTTGTCTCAATTGTCTTTATTTTTCTTTTGTTTGTTTATTTGTTTTGAGATACAGTCTTGTTGTGTAACACAAGCTGATCTGGTGCTCACCACATAGCTCAGACTAGCCTCAAACCCATGGCAGTTTTCCTGCCTCAACCTCCCACGGACTGGGATTACAGATATTTGGCACCATGCCCAACTAATTCTTTTTTTCTATAAACTTTTTTCACCTCAAAACCCAATCCTATCTAGTCTATAACTTAGAACAGTTTCTTAGCTGTTTATTTTCCTTGGAGCTGTTGGTATTCTTCAAAGCACGCTAGCCAGTTCTTTTGCAAAATGTTTGTTAGTTGGAGCTTTCCCAGTTGTTTCTTCATGCTAAGGTTTGTTAGGGAGTCCAGCGTTTTGGCATTGTGTCACAGCATTGTGATTACAAAGTTCAGGAAAGTTGGTGCAATCAAATTAACAACAAAAAAAATCATGCTTTATTTACAATTTAAAGGTTTTTATGGCAAAAAAAAAATATGAACTGGCACAGCCACTTAGGCCACTGGAATGACATCTACTAAGTATGTGTCAGCAATGTCACTCATGACTCTGCCTATATGAAGATGTATGTAGGAAAAGCACTAGATTACTGCTTATGATAAGATTTGAAGCAGTTTCAGTGCCAACCCCGGGAACATAAAGGTGTGCTACGAGGTGTTAAAAGTGACTTTGAGCCGTGTGTATTAACATACAGGTTTTAACCTCTCTAATACCCCAACTTCCTCTGAACATTCCCAACACGTCTCCCTCCTCCCTTCAATAGTTCAGTGAGTTTAATTAGAGTCACTTGCATATCCACAAGGGTGGGCTTATGTACAGGATCAGGGGCAATGTACCTGTGGCTATACCCCTGAAGAAAAATAGCCACCCTCAAGGAGCTATTACTCATAATAAAACTCATATTACTTTATGGTTCTGTGTTGGGCCACATTCCTAGTCATTCTTGGTCACATGTTTCCTCAAGGCTTGGGCTGGACTCACCTGAGAGATGAAGCATTTGGGGCAGGAATGCTATGGAAACAATGTCACCACGACGCTGTGCTCTTTCTGGTTCACTGCTCTGGGAACCACCTGATTTCATTTAGTTCCCTTTCTGTTGGTAATCAAGTTGCTTTTTGGGGTGGGGGACAAAGAGACTTTTGTTTGGTTTGGTTTAGTAAGGGTGAAGCTGGAAGCTCTCTCAGACTTTGGAAATTTCGTGTGACCATAGTAGCTAAGCCCAGAGGTCTGCCATGTTCGGCCAAGGTATAGTTTAGTTCCATTGTCAAAGCCTGTTTGATTGTTGATGTTTCCACAATAAATAGTGTTGAATATTAGGAAAATAAAAAGCAGGATAAACACAAGTGCTGCCATTCCGAGGATCACTTTTAAAGCCACTGCTGCATCTGACCATGGATAAGATAAGAGCAGCTGGTTGCCAGCCCTGGATGTGTGAAATCAAAGAGAGCCATTGTGCAATCAAAACACGTAGCTGTGTGTTCTGCCCAGCTAGCAGGACGAGGGCAAACTCGGGGTTGTTTTTTCTCTTCACTAATAACAACTTTTAACCTTTTTCTTTTTTAGAAAATAAGAAAAATACAAAATAAAATCTTTAAGTTTTTAGAAATGGAGGTTGCCAGGGTTATGCTTGGGCAGCTGAGGAAGGAAGATTGCCCCAAGTTCCAGTCTAGCCTGAGCTATAGAGTGAGACTTTTTCTTAAAAAAA